GGGGGGGAGGCAGAGCTGAACAGACCTCATGCCTGGCAGTTAACTACTTTCTCTAGTATATTTCACCACCACCTCCTTCTCCTCCAGTATGAGAAAGAAAGCACTATTTGCTCAGTGACACCTGTGATAAAAGATCATTATCAGCACATGAACCTGGACAAACCTAGTGCCTTGCATGAAAAACAAATTTAGTGTGAGCTTACAAGTGTGTCACTGTGTGAGAATGTACAGCAGAGAGAGAGTGTTAACCAGGAGGAATGAAGCCTAAATCAATGTGATTAATTCATGTTAATTGCTGCCCCCTTGGGGAAGTGCCATGGTTGCTTTGCTGATACACAGTTTTTGGTGCCTCCTCTTTGCCCAGAAGATAAATCTCCCAAGTCAATAAAGAGACAGGTGCAAACTCCTGCTGCTTCACAGCTTCACACTGCAGTTACCCTTCATCCCAGCCACTGACAATAAAAAAGTAAAACATAAAACACTAGACCTACAATAACTTGCTCTGCAAACCCTGAATCCTGCAGTGGAATTCAGAAAATGTTAACACAACTTTGGTGATGAATCATATAAAAACAGGAAGTGACAGATTGTTATGAATTCTCCCTACTGCATATTCCACCACAGTTTAGAGGCTTCACACAGCCTGCACTGCAAAGCTGCAGGGCATTGTCTGCATACTAATATCCTGCTCCTTCTGAGCCGGGACTCTCAGAGGCCTCCTCCAATCGTTTCAATGGTACTATCCCCTCACACAAGAAAGACATTACTGACACTTGTGAGAACAAGTTGTGCTGTACATAGTCGTCCTTTCAAAAAGACACTCAGCTATCAAAGGCATATTAGGCATGGAGGAATGAGGCAGGGATTCAGGCCAGGATAAAATTGAGATTAACCACATTTGGACTAACACTGGTGAAGTCACTTCTTATAAAAACACACAAACCATGTGGGTCAGAATTACAATCAACCTATTCACTCCTCTAGTCACAGATCAATGTACTGTAAACAGACATGGACTAGAGGCAAAGTAATGGCCAGCAATCAGTCAGACCCAATTAAATGATTTTAATGGCTATGTCTGTGAATGTGAATCATCTTTATTCAAGGCTTTAGTGTAACTGAATAAAAGGATTTTAGATAAAGGAGAGTAGATTTACACCAGTTATATTAAAAATTGCAATGCTTTCAGAAAACACAGACACACTGGACAATGCTATTTCTCCTAAATTCATCTAATGATGTATGTTAGTTAATTTGTTCCTAATGAGGGCTCAAATTCACCGAAAGACAGTTGTGTTTACTGTGGTGGACATTTAAATTTGCATGAACATATAATGATTTTAAATTCCAAGTAAGGCTTTAGAAAAATACTTACAGTACAGTAAGAAAGTCTGTCCGAATCCCTCACCAAGCCATCAGATTGACTGCATGTCATTACTTGTTCAAAGGTGATCTGTTTCTTCAGTCAATATTGGGACAGCTGGGGAATGAGCTGCTGGGTCAATAATGATGCCATGAGACAAATTTCACAGACAAGGTCATGAGTCAGTTTCACAGGAACAACACCTTGCTGTTTTGTACCACATGATGTGAACATAAATGCCATAAAAGGCCCACAATGAAGTGGGTCACTGCAGATCTCTTTCCTCCACCCTATTTGTCTTCTAAACGTAGTCTCACCTCCAACACAAGCTTAAGGTGGTATTCAAGCAGGGAGGATGCATCTTCCTTCAGCTCAGAAATATTCCTTTAGATTTATTTTTAAAAAAGCACAAACTACATTAGCCTCCTTTTCCCTCAGTGCAGAATTATACATTACATAAAGCCAAGCATAGAAAACTATTCATGAAGGGAGTAAAGTCAGTCAATTCTGACTCACTTCCACAAATAACACAGGAAACAAAGCATGAGAGAAAGGTACGTGAGCAAGGTACATAGCACGATAGTAAATGATCATTCAAGCATGGCTGACATTGCACTCCACAGGAACTCAAAGGCAGAGAGGAGAATGAGGAGGATGAGCAGCCCGATTTAGAGCAAACAGCTGTCGTGCACTTTGCCTCGCTACACATCTGCCAAGTTACTGTGGGCAGGGCGCTGAGGTGACTTCCTAAGCTCCACCAGTCTGTGCCTCTTCCTCACATAAATTTCAAAATCACTCTGTTGACATACTATTTTTTCCTTCCATGATACTCCCCAGTTAAATAAGATATACTGCAGTTACAATTAGTTAACATGTCAGGATTGCAGCACTAACAGTATGGACTCCTCATTCCTTGTTCTGTTTGTTCAGGAATCTGCTTCAGATGTGCCGACACTGTGCCTGCCTGTAAGATGCAGTTCCTGCTTGTTGGTGCCATGTGACTATTCATTGACTAGCTCAGCTCAGCTCAGCTCACAGCATGCCATTACTCTGTCTAGGTGAATGCCACTGCATAAGCGCAAGCAATGGTCTGACACTTCATCTTGAAATGGCTGGCTAGGAACAGTTTTGACACATTCAGAAAAGTTGACTTTGACATATGGCTCTTCTTTGTTTCTGAAGATCAAAAATGGACAGAAATATAATGGAACTCCTTAAGTCCATTAAAGTAAAATGTCATGTCAAATCAATTGTAGCCTCAAGTTATAGTTTAAATGAATTACTCTTTTTAAATACCATGATTAACCTAAAATATTAACAGCAAAGGGGATCTTACTTTTTACTAACATCTATACGAATTTTATTTACCACATAGGATACACAGTAAGACTCAACTACTGGTAGAATCAGTTTGTGGAACTTCTGTCCAGACACATCTGTCTGGATCCCACTTTCCAGAACTCCACAGGCATTATCCTGTAGCTGTTATTAAACTTTGACTTTGGGGTCAAATCCAGTCCTCATTAATAGGACTACTAGGAATCATGCAGAGATTTGTATGCAATAATGAGAAATAGAGGTGCAGTCACAATTCATTCAGCCTTCTCACCCCTGGGTGTAACTTGTAATTACTCCTGTAGGGCTTTGGGGAGATTGGCAGATTAAAAAGGAGTTGCCCTGAGGCCGGTTGGCCAGCCAGCCAGCCAGTTAGGCAGCCACAGAGCCTCTCCTGATGTGACACCGACTCACTGTCTGACAGGAATGTCAATACACCTACTCAAGGTGACACCTGACTTGACAAATTATACAGTCTTGTATTAATATCATTCAAGAAATAAGTTCCTACAGAACCATGTGTCACCCACAACACTATGATGAGGGCAAGTGTATAAAGTCATGAGTGTGTTGTCAGGAGCACAGTGGCCTCAATAAGAATTTGGCTGCATCAAGACTTCCTAGAGTTCACCATCTGGACAAACTGAGTAACTGGGGAAGAAGAGTCAGGGAGGTGACCAAGACCAAGAACTCACTCTTAACAGAGCATCAGAGGTCCTGTACGGAGTGGGAAGGTGGAAGCCACTCTCGACTAAAAGGCATGACAATGCCCTGAAGCATATAGCCAAGACAACGCCGAGTGGTTTCAGGAACATCTTTCTGTTCTTGAGTAGCCCAGCTACAGGTTAGAAGTGCAATCCATAGATCATATGTGGAGAGAGCTGAAGACAGCTGTTCACAGACACTTCCAATCCAATCTGATGCAGTTTGACAGAATGTCCAAGGCAAAATGGGATAAACTGCCTAAATTTAAGTGTGAAGCTGATAGAAACCTTCCCACAAAGACTAAGCTGCAATTGCTGCCGAAGAGGCTTCTACAAAACACTAAAGTTCTGAATATATTTATTTTTTAATATTAATGAATCTGCAAAAATAATAAAATTACTATCATTATAGGCTGAGTGTTGTTTCATGAGAAAATGGCAATTTTACCCATTTAAAATTGAAACAAAGTTCAAAAGGTAAAGCAGTCTGAAAACTGTGTGAAGCCATTGTATAAGTCTTGAGATGATTCGAAATTGTTACTTTATCTTTTTTTGTGACTTTGTACTTCAAATTCCATTTTAGAGAAGAACATTGCACTTTTTACTCCATTCGATGTATTTAGTAGTCATAGTTAATGGTTACTTTGCTGATCAAAATATTGCCTTTAATTTATGCCTTCAATGTGCGATCAGTATACATCACACTGAAATTATACACTAATAATCAGTTCTACTGATCAATATAAAGCTAGCAAACACAGTAGACTTCTTCACAAGGCTAGAGCGCCCCCCAGTGGTGTACTAAAATTTGCCCTACATGTTGTAAATTGCAGGACTTCAGTGATCCAGGTCCTAATTCTACAATCACTGTCTGGTGTCCAGACATAAACCAGGATGTTTGTGCAGAAACTGATGACATAAGTAGACAGTGGGAGCTCAGTGCTGCTAATGC